AAAAAAAAAAAAAAGAAAAGGAAGAAAAGGAATACACAGATGTTTTGCCATGGAAATGCTGTTTGTGTATGCATAAAACATCTTTGGAAAGATACACAACAAACTGATGGTATAAGACTTAGATTTCCAGGGAAACCAGGTGGCTGGGAAGAGAAAGTTTTCACTATGAAATCAAACCATTCACATGCTCAACCATGTAAATATATTACCTACTTAAAAATCAAATTTGGGCGTGGTGGCTCAAGTGTAATCCTAGCACTTTTGGTAGGTGGATTGCTGGAGCCCAGGAGTTTGAGACCAGCCTAGGCAATGTGGAGAAACTCCATCTCTACAAGAAATACAAGAATTAGCTAGCCACAGTGGCATGCACCTGTAGTCTCAGGAACTCAGGAGGCGGAGGTGGGAGAATTGCTTAAGCCCAGGAGGTTGAGGCTGCAGTGAGCTGTGATCACGCCACTGCACTCCAACCTGGATGACAGAGTGAGACTGTCTCAAAATAAATACATAAAAATTAGTGTAAAAAAAACACAAAATGAGGGGACTGGGGCTTTTGATTACATCACCAAGCAGATACGTTTATTTACTTGTTTATTTCTCAAGCACTGCTGAATATGTCAGTAAAGAAATAAGGGACCAGGCACGGTGGCTCACGCCTGTAATCCCAGCACTTCTGGGAGGTCAAGGTGGGCAGATCACCTAAGGTCAGGAGTTCGAGACCGTTCTGGCCAACACGGTGAAACCCCATCTCTACTGAAAATATAAAAATTAGCTGAGTGTGGTGTTGGGTGCCTGTAGTCCCAGCTACTCCAGAGGCTGAGGCAGGAGAATCGCTGGAAGTTGGGAGGTGGAGGTTGCAGTGTATCAATATCGCTCCACTGCACTCCAGCCTTGGTTACAGAGCAAGACCATGTCAAAGAAAGAAAGAGAGAAAGAGAGAGAAGAGAGGAGAGGAGAGAAAAGAAGAGGACCATAGGTACAAAAAGAATTTGAATGAGAACAAAAGGTGGGCCACATGAACAGACTGGTCATATAACAGTAATAGTTCTGGTTAATGTTTACTGAATTACTGTGTGCCAGGCACTGTGTTATTATATGATCCCGATACGTATCACCTTGTTAATCTGCAGATTGAGTAGGTAGGTTATTATGGCCATTTTCAGGTGAGGAAACTGAGGCTGCCAGAAGTTAACTGATTTCAAGTCTCCATCGCTAGTTAAGTGGAGTTTGGACTCTCAGTGAGGACTGAACTCTGACCTAGAAGTATGCCTGGCTTGAGAACCCTGGCGGATGCTCAACTGCCTCTCTCCGACTATTTTTTCTGCTGCATTAATGGCCACTGTTGTTAGAGCCGTTTGTATTTTGGTTGCAGGGGCTCAGCGGGGGGAAGGATCCATCTGGGCAGAAGCCAGGAGTCGAGGCGGGTCAGCCACAGAGGGCAAGTGGAACCGGGGGGGATAGCAGGGGATCAACCCATCCAGAACAGAGGCCTGCAAGGATGAGTGCACTTCGACCCCCTCGGAGCAAAAGCCAGAGTGACTCACAGGAGGAAGACAAAGCAACCAAAGCCTCCAGGGTGTGCAGGGAGTCCAAAGTCGCCAGAAGGAAGAAGAAAACCTGAAACAGCCAGAGCTGGCCAAGCCTGCTAGGACCTATGCAAATGAGACCCACCCACGCTGCCTGGAAATCGGGCCTGGGAAGTCAGAAAACAAAGCTCATGTGTGCAGGGCTGCATGGATGGGTGGAGGAGGCTGCAGCTCTGAGGGGGCAGGTAAGTAGCCAGAGAGGGTCGCAGAGGGGCGGGTCACCAGGCCCCAGGGTCCTGAGCTGCAGCAGTGTGCGGCAGGTGAACTCTGGCCTGGGACGGCAGGCTCCTGGGTTCATCTTTCAACTCAGCCACTCTAGCTGGGAAGCCTTTGGCAAGTCGCTTCATCCTCTGAGCCTTGGCTTCCCCATCTAGAAAATGGATCTAAAAATAATCATGTAGGTCTGTATTCAGCGCCTTCTGTATTCTACTGGGCACCTTATAGACTATTCCTTCCACAGAGCAACCCTGGAGGAGTGGGATTATTAGCCTTTTTTACAGAGGAAAATGAAGTTCAGAGAGGTTAAGGCATTTGTCCAAGACAAATGGTTCCAAATCTGGTTGAAAAGCCAGCCTGCTTTCTACTCCCCACTCAGCCTCTCTCACAGGGTGGTTTTAGAGGATCAAATGGCCTTCTGCAAACACAATAAAAAAATCCTAAAAGGCAAGTCACCTATCAAATGGATCATCATGCTTAGATTTTAGCAAGGGCTAAACTGTGAAGTGCTATGCAAATGCCAATTCTTGGCTGAAAACATTGGAGTGATGCTTGGGACAATTGATATTTGGTGATGACTTGTTCTTAGACCAAGGAGATGACTTTGGGGCAGTGTTTAGGGTTTACTGTAGCTGAGATGTCCTGATGTGGGGTGGGGTTGGTGCGTGGCCAGAGCCTCAACCCAGCTGATCCCGAAACAACAGTGGACCCCTGGGGGAGCAGCACAGATAAAGGCCCAGGGAATAATGATCCTTCCTCCTCTTGGACAGCCCTTTGCAGCTCTGGCTGTGGAACTTCAGAGAATGTAGATCTGATGTGGGGGGAAACAGGAGATCTTTACTTGTAGTAATACAAGCTTACCGGAGTAAAGCTAGAATTTTCAGGTAAAAGAATTAAAAATTAAAAACCAAAGTCTAATCTTGCCCCCAGAGATAACCACTGCTAATAGTTGGTTGTTTATCTTTCCAGACATTTTTCCCATGGTGCACATGGTTTTGAAAATTGGATTACATTGTAATATGGTTTTGTTGCTGGTTCTTTTTGCTTAATGATGTTATATCCTAGGCATATATCCATATTAATAGTTTTATCACATCATTTTAAAGGGTGCATAATGTTTCTTTCTATGGATGGAGCAGAATCTACTTAATCAATGTCCTATTACTGGATGATAAAGCAGTTCTCCATAGGTCACTATTAAATCAGGGCCCCGATGGGAATCTCTGTAATCACATCTTTGCAGAAGTCCTTGATGATTTCCATGGAATCCGTTCCCAGTGAGGGAGTTGATGAGTTGGGGCTACATATAGTTTAAGGCTTCCAATAAGTATTAAAGGTCTGTTTCTGCCACTCTCTGGAATTCAGGTGCTCCTCGAAACTTGATGCAGAAAACTTTGTCATGGCTTTGAAGTCAACCTTGACCCTTCCTCTCTCTCAAATCTATTTACATTAATAATCCCAGCTGCCTCATATATCCATAACAATGTTCTGGTCAACAATGGACTACATATATGATGGTGGCCACATAAGATTATAATACCATATATTTACTGTGCCTTTTCTAAGCTTATGTTGAAATACACAAATATTTTCCATTGTGTTACAATTGCCTACAGTATTCAGAACATGATATGCTGTATGGGTTTGTAGCGTAGGAGCAATAGGCTGGACCATATTGCCTAGGTAGACGCTACCATCTAGGTTTGTGTAAGTATGCTCTGTGATGTTCATACAACGATGCATTTCTCAGAACATATTCCCATTGTTAGGTGATGCATTGTTGGCTTTTTTTTTTTTTTTTT